TGTGCTATAAAGCAGAGACACAAAACTGGTAAACGACTTGCTGAGATCACAGGAAAAGTTATGATGGAAAAGAGAAGTAACACCCAGCCCAAACACTAAAGAACAAGGAGACTCTAATTATCTTAAAAAGCTCTACCAAAAGATGACTAATGTGAACCAGAAAGAAACTGTTTGGCTGTAGATATGTGTGAATGTGACTGAACAGGAGGAATAATGCTAAGTGAAATATTCTAGGAACACAAGTTTCAATATCGCATAGCTTTTTCTAATATGAGAAAGCCAGAATATACAGAGAAAAAATTGCAGATCATAGGAAACAGGGTGATCTTTTACAAGAGGGGAGAGATGGAGGTGGAGGGAAAGACCTTTCCACAGAGAACTGAAGGAAAAAATGAAAACAACCTTTCAAATGAGAAAGGAATCAAAAGTCAGAGAGAGCAGGGAGAGACGGGAAGAAAAGGAAAGAAAAACGAATTAAGATGTGTGGTGTACACGTACCAACTTCCACGATAACTGTAATCACTATATACTGCAAACACGTGCTTGTAAATACATGATACAATAAATGCATAACAAAAGTAAAGACCACCACTAAAAAGAAAAACAGGTGGGGAAAAGTTTACCCGATGAGTTCATTTGAAGTTTCTGTCTTCTTTAGTTAAAAGAATGAGGATGAGAAGTGATTTTTTTTAAACTCTTGGCTTCAAGATAAATTAACTGAGATATACTGAAACCTGAAAATCTAGCTCACTTAAAGTTTACCTGAAAATAATGAAATTAGAGATATAAGCTGCTTTGTAACATAGAAATAGTGATCCATGTGGCAAGATATACCCAATGACACAACATGGAATTCCAGTAAAAGGAGCAAATAGAGGAAAGAGATGGCTGAGATCCTCACAAGGCCATTAGGTTGTCCTGTACTTGCTCCCAAATAACTATAAAGTCAGTTCACTGACACAGACCATAGGTCAAATCTTCATAGAGGCTTAGTCATAAAATGATGGGATCTTGATGTGTCTAAGAGGTGTGTATTCTCCAAATAATACGTGGTCACCAGAGACAAAAGTTATGCCACGAGAATGGCTGTATTACTTCACAGGATGACATACTAAGTGTTAATTTCCCTACGAATCCAAAGGCACTGAAAGAGTTTTACATAATGATGCCAAGAAATAAGAGGCAAAAAAGATCCTCAAATTGAATACAATAGATTCTCCTGACCCAAATAACAAGTGTGTTAAGCTTGCCTAAGACAAGAGATATTACAAGTCCAGCAGCACAGCTGAAGAATGTGGTAAATAATGAAAGCCTAGTTCTAGTGTGCATTCTGCTCATGAAAGAGGACCAAAATATCACAGCCGACAATGTAGGCTAGAAAGAGAAAAACCCCGTCTCACTGCACCAAATGCCTAAAAGTTTCAACATTTCACCCCTGTATGAATGGTGGGAAGCCCATGTGATGGTGTGCAGCTGTAATCCCAGCGCTCTTGGAGGCTGATGTGAGAGGAACTAAATTCAGCCTAAATTCACACTGAGCAACTTAGTGACCCAGACCCTGTTTCAAAATAAAAAATAAAAAGAGCCCTGTGACATAGCTCAGTGTGAATCCCCTGTTTCATTTCCCAGCACTATAAATAAATAAATAAGTATATACATACATGTACTTCTTTTTAACAAAGAACTTGAGATGTGGTTCGGTGTGCAGGTCCTAGATTCAATCCTCAGTACCAAAGAGAAACGTGGGGGGACGTAGAGTTGGAGGAGAAGGGAATGGGGGAAGCAGGAGAGAGAGGAAGGGGGAGAATAGTAATGGAAGAGGAGTACTTCCAATTTTGAAATCCATCCAACTAAAAATGTTTTTGAAAAAAAATGAGATTCCCAAGTTAGCTGGTGCTAAGTACAGGCTAAATTACTGTCAGTCATGAAGTTATCCTTAGCTAGGTCATTTCAGCGTCATATCATTAAAACATCTTGAAAACACTTAAGGCAGAGTGAAAGGCTTCCTGCTGCATACCCACAAAAACGAAAGAAGCGATGTCATTAGATTCATTCCCTTTCTGGGGGCCTCTGCCTTATAGTGACACCAGGCAATGAGTTCCTAAACACACATGACCACAGTCCGAACCAAGCTAAGCCGTGGCTTCTCCAGTTCCGGCAGCACTGTGCAAAATCAGCCTCCAGACTCGTAAGGCTACTGAGCCCCTAAAAGGCCGTTGATGATGTGTTCCTAGTGCAGACTACGCTACATTTAGACTGAGTTCCACAAAATGTAAAGTATTTCAATAGCAATTTTTATGCTGGCTACATCTTAAAGTTATAAAATATTGCATTTGGTTTAGCAAAATACATTATTAAAAGTAATTTTAACTTTTTTTAGTATTTAATGTAGCCGGTAGAACATTTTAAATTTCATATGTGGTCCATAACAATTTTTACTGGTCAGTGCTAGGTTACAGCTTCTATATGATACTGAAAAAGAACAAGCAGCAGTGGAGACATAAGGTTCCTCCTCCAGGAAGTCTTGGCTGGACTGAGCATTGCTACACAGCCTGTCTCACTGAAATGCTGAGCGACTGAAGGTCACAATTTTCTGTAAGACTGAGAAAGTAGGAAACCTGTGATCCTACAAAAATTCTACCAGACAACTATGAGATACACTATCCATGAAAGAAACCAGTAGGGCTCTTTAGAAAAGAGAAAGCAGTCTAAAAGAATTGCAGAAATAGGTCTGATTCAGATAGGTGTATTCAAATAGGTCTGTATTCAGATATTTCACAATAATCATTGTGAAAATATATGAACTTGGTTGTTGGAAATAAAGTTTACTCCGGGATCCACTGCAAACTTACCGTGGGCACACATCCATTTAAATCAACCTCAAGAAGTGACACTCTGAGACTAACAGTTTTGTGCTCCTTCCTATATTGGATACAGAGCTAAATTGCTGAGGAGGACATCTCCCAAATTCCACAGCAGCTTGGGTTCCAGATGTGATATTTGGTACCATCAATCAAATGCACAAATAGAGAACTGAATAAGCAAGAAAATAAGTGGGCAGGAGCATTGGTGTTGCAAAATTGGTTTTCAGACTGATAACTGAAGGGTATTTTCATCTAGACCGGCAGCTCTCTGGTGTGGCGTGGAAGCCCATTTTGGAGAATCATCATCAAACGCCCAGTTTATTGTCTGTCTCTTGACTATAAAATGCCCATTAAGTTGACACTTATCTCCTAACCTGCAGTAAGAAGTAATAAACTAGTTCTTAGAATAGCTTAGCACAAGGATGACACCTAGAAACCACCGTCAGCTATAATTAGAGTTTTAACGTTCGCTATAACACTGAACTCAGTGTTAATAATAAAGAGGAGTTGCATAGCACGTCAGATTCTGGACCAAAGTCAAAAAAGAATAAGAAAGAAACAAGAAAGTTTCCTTAATGGAGTTAAACCTTTGAGGAAGCACCAGTTCCCGTAAATCCCTGAATGACGGTAGCTGGTAAGATAATCTTGACTACAACAGCTTGCCACAATGAGTCTGAAAGCTAACTGCCCACGACTGTTGAGGGAAATGTATGCAGGTGGAAGGGATATAAACCGAAAAATCTCATAACACAGAAAACCAAGTAACATGGAAGGAAAAAGAAACAAAAAATTATTATTTTTTGCTTATTTTTCACAATAGTGGAGAGTGTTAAATGAAGATTGATCTGAGTTGCTTTGTAAGATTCCGTTGCCCATTCATTTCCAAAGAACACCATTAATTAGTGGTTTAATGACCATGGTCTCCACGCAACTTGGCCATTGGCTGGGCCCTGGTCAGAAGGCAAATTAGTGACCCATCATTTTCATGGTGAGGATGAGTGGAAATTGGAATGAGAAGAGTGAAGTCAGAGTGGAAAATAATGGATCATGGGAGACAGTCCCCGGGGTGAGTAGGAGTCAACACAGTAATATTTGCATTTTTGTTCCCTTCTTTCTGACCCTTGCTCAGAATTCTGCCCTGTTCCCCATGGCTCAAGACAGGGCCAATCGTCTATAAGCAACATTATGACAAAAGCGAGGGTAGCAACTGTAGTCTGCTTTTTTAAAAAAAAAAAAAAAAACAATCTCAAAAGTGGGCAAAAGTTGTAAGTATCGCACAAAGATACTTATTCTCATTTGAGAATAAATTGTCAACATGAGGCATCATCACATTCATATACATGAACATGTATTTTTGACAAACAAGGACATTTTCCTACACAACCACAATGCAACCATGAATATCCAGTAGTTAACACGGCTCTATCACCACTAATTAACTTGCAGATCCCACTAACCAACCGCCAGAGCCACACCCTGAGTCCCTTGTCACCTCTTTAGTCTTCTTCCCACAGCTGCTTGACTTTCACAAACTAGGCAATTTTTTGAGGATTGTGGGCCAGTTACTTACTCACATTACCCTGATAATTTTGGTTACAATGATGTGTCCTTGTGACGGTTAGATTAAAATGATCATAGATGTGGATTGCATCCCATTAGACAGCCTACGATCCCGGGCCCACCGTTAGTCCTGCTGTTTGTTTTAATCTCTTGATTAAAGCCCTGGCTGTCAGGCTTCTTCACAAGTGTTTCTTTTACCCTCCCATAACTTATGAGCAGTTTTCACAAAAGTACTTTTAAATTACCCAATCCCTTCTCTCAAGACATTTTCAATTTGTTATTCATTTATAAGTATGAAAAAAATAAATGTGGATTGGTTGTTTCTGATTTTACTCAATGGATTACAATCTGTTATTATCACTGCTCACTTTGATACTCAGTCTCAGACTTGGTCAGTGGAACTGACTTTTGTGTCCATTTCATATGCCCATATCAGCTACTTTACTTTCTGACACAGAAACACGCTCCAGACACATGCTTGAATGAGACATCTATTTCATCAAGCACTCATTCCTTCTGGTTAAAACTAGGGCAGTCTAGGGGCTGGGGATTTAGCTCAGCGGCATAAGCACCTACCTTGCAAGCAGGCAGTCGTGAGTTTGATCTCCGGTACTGGAAAAAAAAAAAAAAAAATTGGGCAGTCTGCTATCAGCCACTTATCAGCCACCATGCACAAGGTCATACCTTACCCTGGGCAACCCATGTGAAGCCATCCAATAAAAGTCTGTCTCAGAATATGACTCTTGGAAAACCCAAAACACAATTAAAGTTAAGACCTAGTTATATTCATTGCTATTGGAGTATTTCTGCTCCCAGCCCTCTTAGTAGACAGAGCTATTAAATGTATGTACACATAAACATATTTATACGAAGATTTACATTTTTTATCCATGATAGGCTTTAAAATGCCCCAAAAGTTACCCACATTGTAATCCCTGGATTCTATGAATGTCACCTTTTATAATTAAAAAAATAATAAAATAAAAAAAGGAGGGCAAGGAGGAAGTGAAAGCCTTTATATAGGTTGCTAAGGATTTGGAGATGGTGAGATTATCCTGGACTGTTTAGGTTGACTGAATGCAGTCACAAGGGTCCTTTTAAAAGAGAGGCTGGCAAATACAAATCAGAATGTGACGAGGAAAACAGGTCTGTGTGGTTCAGGGTCACAAGCCAAGGAATCCTAGTATCTTTCCTCCAGGAGATGGAAAACTCAGGGAAATCCATTATTCTATAGAGCATCCTGAGGGACGTAGTCACTCACACACACACACACACACACACACACACACACACACACACACACCTTGACTCCAACCACGTGAAACTGCTTTTGGACTTCTGAGCTCTAGACCTTTTATTTTTTCTGTTTTTATTTTTCATTAATACGTGTTTGGGGTCATGATTACATTCCTGGTGGAGAGTTTGGTATGTACACATAACACATTTTAGCTATATTTTCAACTTCTCCCCTTTTCCTCCCTCCATCTCTTGTGGACCTCAGTGAAAAAATTAATTTCCACTATTTTCAGCAACCAAGTTTCTAATTTGTTAAAGTAGTAGCCCTAGCAAACTAAGTCTATCCACCACCACAGAGAAGCCTTCCTCGCCCAGCTAAGATCCTAAGGCCCTAAGAAGACCACTCTACACTCTACTACACACACACGCACACACACACACACACACACACACACACACACACACACACACACACGGCTGTGAATCCCCTTCTCACCCTCTGGGCTCCCATTCCCTGCGGCACAAAACTCTCCTACAGGACAACCTCTTCACTGAAGACCACCCACTCACCTGAATGCTGTGTGCATTTGATTTCTCTGAGAAATCAAATCAGAGCGACTGAGAGAAAGCCTTGACACTCAGAGGACATGGTTCCTTCTACCACTTTTCTTTACAAGGCTTGCAATCAGGCTTGCTCTCACCTGGGAAGGTGATTCAAGGACTCTCCTCTGAGGAGGAAAGTGAATAGCTTTCAACTAAAGATCTGTAGGTACTGATGTTGGAGGTACCCTTCTATCGAAAAGGCCAGCCCACTGCTGTCCAGTACACAAGCACTGCCCGGGCACACTGGTTCTGGTTATAGTCTTGGTGCATAACACTTGAATGAGCAGATTACAGATTATTTAGAGAAATTTCCAAAATGAAAGCTTTTTTGAAAGAGCCAGAAGATCAAATAACTTCAACAAATAGGGACAATATAAGGAACAACAAAATAAATGTTAAAATATGATTTAAGAACATAGATTATATTCTTAGAGAGGCAAAAAGAAATTTGGCTCCTATAGAAGATAAGCATAAGAAAGAACTCATAAATTAAAACTATAGATTTAATTTTTTTCAGTTGAAGAGATAAAATTAAAAATAGCTTCCACAAAGTAAGACTAAAACACAGAAGAAACATAAAATAGAGGAAAAGCATGAGAAAAAGAGGAAAATTGTAGGTTGTATAATATTTCATTTATGAATTACACAAAAATAAGGAAAATTATCAAAGATATGTGATAAATTTTTCCAGAAGTGATAGGTGACACAAATCTCCAAATTGACCCTCATAGGACCCAACACAATAATAAATAAAAAGGTGAAAGAAATTTTAAAAAGACCAACACAAAAACATATCGTGGTGGAATTGTCAAAAAGCAGTGGTAACAAAAGAACTGAGCATCCTTAAAGCTTCAAAAATAAAAACTGGAATATAAACAAAGCAATAGGATTTAGAAAAGCCTTGGGTTGTTCTGTAATCTGGGATTCTGTATCTGGCCACATTATTAATCAAAAGTGATGGTAAAATACCAAAGTTTTCAGACTGGGAGCCTTCAAAACCATATTTCCTAGGAGCCCTTTTCCCTGGCCTCAACCACAAGGAGAGAACCAGTTATAAAAAATGCCAGAATCTCAGTTGTTACAAAGTTTGTCTCTTAAACACTCAGAGTTTGTGTGAATTCAAGAGACCTTTCAGGGCAAATGTCTTCCATGGCCATTCAGCAATCCATGATTAGCTTCAATACCAGACTTCCTCTAATGGGAAAGAAAATGTTTTAGTCTGGACAAAAATGTGTCACTTCTACCATCAATCTAGTGACCAAATTAGTCAGTGACCCTTCACAGCTGCAGGGAGACAGTGAACTGTTTGGGCAGAGAGGAAAGCTGATAACAAAAGCAGTTACTCAAAACAAGTGAGTTATCCGAGAAAAATCTAGAAAATACAACCACTAGAAAACAAGGATTCCACCTCATCAAGCTAGAAACCAATCAGTGAAGATTAAAGTAGGAGAACTCAGGGCTCCAGAAAAAAAAAAAATCTGGAGAGAAAATAATAAAATCCACAGGGGGCCTGATACATGTAAGGATTTAGATAAAAGATCGCTGCCAAATGTAATTAAAAATATTAGAGCAAATATTAGACAATGCAAAGAAAAACAAGGCAATTGAGAAAAATGAAAGTTATACAAGAAAAAATGTAATTATACTCTGCACTTTGCTTAAAAATAGTTTATTTAGTAATAATGTAAACTCTATTATTGAAACAAAAAGTGTTATAAAAGTATTGTTAGACTAGCCATGAAGACAAAGGAGTTGTAAGCAGATTATACATTATCATCCTATCATATCCAGAGGTTTGGTGATCATAGACTTAACCAACCATAGATGAAAAACATTCAAAAAAAATCATATGTGTATATTGACACGTACAGACTTTTCTTATGGTTACAACTTTTCATACTATTTACATTTTATTCACTATTATAAGCAATACAGAGATGATTTAAAGTATGTAATAGGATGTCCATAGGTTATATGCAAATGCTGTACCATTTTATATAAAGGTCTTCAACGTCTACAGAACTTAGTATCCTGGATAAGGCAGGACCTAGAACCATGTCCCTACCAATACTGAGAGATAACTGCACTCACTGGCCAAGAAGGCAGTACTTGATGTCACAAAGTAGTAGTTACAAGAATAAAACACAGAATGTGCATTGCAGAAGCCTTCACTAGTTACCCCATATTCTCCTTTCTGAAGGTGTTGACGGCACCCCAGCTCTTCCACCCCCACTTTTGCAAGCTCCCCAGCTGGCTGGAATTAAGGTAAAATCCAAAAGCTCTATGAATCCCACTGGCCACACACTGAGCCCATTCACACCAGGCCATTCCCTCCACACCTGGACTTCAGGGGCATGCAGTAACACAGGACGCAGAGTAAATATCCCTGTGGGACTGCTGGGGCTGGCTGATGCGATTCTGAAGAACAGAAGAGTTCCTTCCTTACGGTGTGAACTGTGACCCATTATTTCCATCCATGCAGTGTCTGGGGAGGGACTGCTCACTGCTGGCCTTCTAGAGATCCAAGTGCTGAGGTCAGGTGATTGCTAAGACCTCCCACAGTGACACATCACACAACGGTGCTCTGCAGCTTGCTTGGATCTTTTTCCTCACCCTTACTTACCTGTGCTTATACCTCTCAAAGTCTCAAAACCTTAATAACTGCAAGTTTATTTAAATGTGTAGGATAGGGAACCATATTGCTGGGTTTTTCTTGGATCATTGAACAGAACTGACTGCAATCTCACTGTATTAATCTCCACTTTGTATGCTTTAATTTTGTAATCTGGACAGCTGTTTGTAAGATGACAATGTGTGATTTATTAACTGGTGAACTCTTACTGTATATTTTTTCTCTTGAAATTCTGTATTACTTCTAGCCTTTTACTGTCTTGCTTCGTTTAGTTTTGTTTTTCTCTTTAAATAAAAAAATAAAAATAAATAAATTAAGTGCTTTTAGGAGATCTAGGCTAATGATAAACTTAAAGATGTAGTTACCTCTGGGGAACAGGGGGATAGGGCACTGGTCAGATGTGACATAGATTATTCATTTCCTTAATAAGCCTCTGGATTTTTAAAACAATCATCATGTGATACTTTCATAAAAATTAATTTAAATGGTTGAATCATGATAGGTCCCATTTTAGATTGCTTATACCTTTTATAAGTTTTCCCCCACAGAGTAGAGAAACAAGGTAATAATTATTTTACTGGTATTACAAGAATGTTAAGACATAACCTTCTGCATTTGTACGCATTTCTCAGATTTTTTGGGAAAAAAAAAAAAACCTTTTTGTGAAGTGGAGGAATTTGTTACGTACAAATCAATACCTCCTTGTATCCTGCTTAAAGTGCTATCTACACTCCTGAAATGGCAGCAAGGGTTTGATTGCAGAATAGCAATAAGTCAATCTATAGACTCATCATAATAAATTATAGAGGAAAGAGAGCCAGCTAAAAAAAGAAACCATTTTATTTTTACATTGAGCGTCTGTTGAAAAATGGGGCTGATGGTGGAATTAATGATTTAATTAAACCACTTAATGTTTTATTAAAGTCAGCATGGCCTAAAGTTCCTGTGCAACCATCAGCTTATCAATAAAACCTCAGATTTGTTTTTGCCAAAGATCATATTTATCATTAGATATGCCCACGTTACAGAGCCTCTAATTGGTTTCGGGAAATCATATACATTCTTGTATTCCAAAACCTGTGCATTAGAAGAACACAAAACCTACTGAGAAAACAAAACCAGGTCAGGGTTTGAAACCATGATTGACTCAGCTGGTCACTGCTCCGTACCAGGAGCCCTGTTTATATGCTATGCAGCACAGTATTTGCTCAGTTTTGACAGCAAAAGAGGACCTCAAGGTCACCAGCCCAAAACCCTCTTGAGGACAGTGCATTCTGTAGGACGCACTGAAGCACCAAGGACAGTTGTCTCACTAGAACCTGCTAGGTTTCCCTTTCTTTAAAGTGTCTCTTTTCTCATTGGAACTCCTCTAATTCTGTTTCCCACATGAGTTTATTTACATGGCCAGCCATGGAAAGAGGAAAGTGGACAAGGAGAGGCCTTTAAGATAATTTATAAATGCTACCTTTTCCATTTCACATGAAACTCTGAGATTAGATGGAAACAGTCCTGGCAAGCGTAGAAAGAACACAGAAATCCAAAGCCAAAGAATAAATTGTAGTTCAATGCCTCTATGGCCTTGCCCTATGGCTTCATTTTTAAGACCTAGGAGAGTGCAAGGCTGTAGACTAATAATCAGTTACAGAAGCTAGGACTTTATGCCCTCACGTGTTCTATTAATATTTTTGCTGTGATCCATGTACTGCTAGAGGGAAGCTTGCCAGATAAAAGTTGTCTTTTAAGCAGAAAGGATCTGCTCCCGTATGGCTGATGTCTGTGCTCCCAGATCAAAGCCACTGGCCAGTGATCTCCCACACTGTCTTACCGCTGTTGTCTTCTTCAGCCGCTCGTTTAACAGGAGACACAGACATAAGAAAGAACGTGTTAATCAAATTTACGACACACTTATCTCAGGTCAACCTAACCTCACGGGTTTTTGTGACTTTGATTTGGTTCAAATTAAAAAATGTTTTACAGTCACACATAACTTATGTGTTTTATTTATAAGATACTGACCAGCTGGCTTGAAGATGTGTCCCTTATGTATTTTTTCCTCATCTTTAATGCTTTGCCCCAAGTGTTTTCATATTCTTATTTGTATGCTGATCTCGGGGATTTCCGTTGGATTTCTCCCCTCATTCTTTTCTTCACCCATTTTATTCGATGAAATACCTGGTTTTTAAAAAAGATCAGTGGTTATCATAATATTAGGAGTTTAGTGCAGTGAACGTTAAGATATGCATACATATATAAATGCATATGTGCATAGAGTTTTAGCTAGTGATCTTTCCCCCTGGAATGTAGATGTTCATAAAAATGGCACCAGCAACTTATAAATTTACACATTCTTTATGAAAGGAAGAAAGTAAAGGAGGGGGGAATGGGAAAAGAAGAGAAGGAAAAAAGCTGAAGTCTTCTCTAACAACCACCAACCTCATTTTTCAATTTTTCTCTTTATTCTCTTCCTCACAGGCAACTCCTCCACACCAGGCAACCAACAGCACCATATACATAATTTTTGCAGGCTTTTCTTACTTATATATGTATCCAGAAATAACACACTGTACTTATCCTTCTGCCACTTGCTTTTTTATGCAACGTTCAATTTTTGAGCTATGTTCATAATGATTTATATAGATCTAGGGCACTGTAATTCATATTATTGTGGAGCAAATCTCCCCATTACTTGCTGAAGAAGTGCTGTATTCGCTAAGTAGATCAGGACATGCTCATTACCCTCTACATAATAAGTACACTCCTAATCATATTTGCTATCACTAACAGATGGAAGATAACTTGGAAAATTAATAGAAAGACAACATTGCAGTGAATTCCAGATTTAAAACCAGAAGGAAAAGATTTTCTTTAGAAGGCTTAAATACTTTTACACTTGCAAAAAGCATTTTTCCAGCTGACTAAATTAAGTTGCTATGAAAGTTCAATCCAAGAATACTACTTGGCTTTGAATCCATTGCCTTTTCTTGTGGTTGGAGTTAGACACATTTTCCCCAAAAGCTCTTGCCAATGTGTATTTTCTTCTAACAGTTAAATAAATGTCAATAGGCAGCCAGTTCCTTTAATATTTCTTTTACTCAGATGACCTATTTTGGGTGAAGTTTTGCATATGGAAATACCCTTGCTCTTCTTAATACATTTCCAGAAAACATGCAAATGAGACTCAGATTCTTCTAAAGCTTTGACTCACTGATGTTCAGTAGGTAACACTCCTTCTCCCTGCTGCTCTGCAGTCTCACTGCCTCTTCATTTTTATGCACTCAGAGGGGGGGAAAATGCTTTGAAGAAGTTTTTCCCTTTCATCCCTCGCTGGCATCTTACCACGGATTGCCTCGGGAATCATTCACAGATAGTATCTTACCTAGCTCTCTGTTTTGCTTTAGTAATTGTGTCTTCTGGACCTCACCGCTCCACCTTGCATTTTAGTGAAGGCGTCCATGAAGAGAACATGCATGCTCAGTGAAAATGTAGCCATGGCGGAAAGTCTCCCTGTGTCCACGGGGCCCTGGTTCGGCTGCCTGCACTGCACACCACCTTTGCCAACTAGGTCTTCCCTCTCTGTTGTCCATCAGAGTTTCCACTCCTGCACCCCCAGGACCCTTCCTTCTTTTCTGAATCATTACAGTCTCAGCCACGGAAGGCTATTTTGTCCATAAACATAAGCAAGATTGCTGCATGGTATAATTTTAGGAACCTTATAGTAGAAAATACCACTGCCTTTAACAACAGATAAGATAAAAATTGGCAATTGCTGATGAAGAACAACAACAAAAAGAAGCGCATTAACTAGGAAAGCAAATCCAAGGAATACTGACAAGCACATGATGTATGTGTCCTAGACACGCCGGGCCATCCCTTTTCCAACAAATGTTTCCTGCTCCTTTACCATCAGTTCTCTACTTCAAAAGATTTGCTCTGTCCCTTGTATTGCATGAACTTGAACACCTGGAAGGTTAAGCCCACAGGTGTGGAGAGAAGAAATTCTAGTCACGCAAACAGAAAAACACTAGCTTACTTCAGACTCTCTGGAGAACTCAGCACTGGAAACAAAGAAACACGATCTTTCTGTCTGGGGACATCACTTGTTCTGTGTATTTTCTCCAGTTCTGCCAGGAATTCACTGGTGACAGCAGGTGACAACTGAGGTAGTGCCCGGTGGGAAGCACGTTACCCCCCTGCTGACTTATCTTGGTAAGAGTACGCTGTGGATGCACTGCTTCCTTAACTTCTGCATGTGTGGTATTCTTCTGTAAAACTGTTTTAATCTGACTTTCCTCTCACTCAGAAAACACAGACTTATCTCAATACCAACATGAGTAACACACACCGACTAGAAATATGTGGCCAAGAATTGTGGGCTGCATTTAGGACTCTGAAACTTACTACCTTTAGTTTTATTACTTTCTATCTAGGTTACTAATCAGATCTTATTGCTTATTCCTCAGAGCTTGTAGACAAGGGTTTAGTATGAAGGGTGAAAACAGGTGTACATATATAAGGTCTTGCTCCATGCAATCCTGTCTCTGCATCCAAGTGAGGTAAATTTTGATGTCTGGATAATTCAGTCTCATATGATGGCTAGAATGCTGAACAGGGCCAATATCAAATCTGTTACCTTTTCAACACTTTTTCAGGTGACCCTCTCTCCTCACCCACCAGCGCGGGCAAATCTGGCAGCTGCTGGTCAGTGTTTTCATGGGAGCCATGTCCGTCTCACTTCTCACTTATACTGTTGTTGTTCTTATCTAGACTCCCATGGTTTTGGTTTCTGGTAGATAATCAGTCTCTTTCATCAGCATCCTAGCCCAGCGCATTCTCTATTCAACTGCTGAGAAGTCTTCCAAGTAACACGCCACTTGACCTAGAAAGGCTGAGGAAGTAAGGCATGCTGGGTCCTGGGTTCAATCTCTGGGACCACAAAAAAATTTTAAAAGAAAGTGAAAGACAGAGACAGGAGAGGAAGAAAGAAAGAGAGAAAGAAAGAAACAAACAAACAAAGAAACAAAGAGAGGGAAAAACCACTTTAGTCTCACTGGGGTCTTCTCTTGAGACCTCTGCTCCCCAGAACTAGTAGGCAACACAACAGTCCTCAAAGATATCTGTCCCACACGTTTGAAATATGTTAGGTCATATGACAAAAAAATATTTTACATACATAATTAAGGCTACAGAACTCTTCAAAATAGGGAGGCCACCCTTGTCCTGGTGGCCCTAATCTAATAACATAAGCCCTTGAAACCTAAGAACTGTGTCTGACTGGAGGCAGAAGAAACAGAGCCAATAGGAAGAGAGATTCAAAATGCGAGGAAGCATTGACTCCCCATTGCTGGTTCACAGTTTGTGGGAGTAGAAAATTACTGCACTAATCAATCCAAGCTCTCCTATTCAAAGTCCATCTGAGTCTCTGCTGACTCAACTAACCCCACCTTATTTCCTTCGCCCTGCAAACAGGCGGTTGATATCTGCCAGAACAGGCTTAGCTTTGTATGCAGAGCTTATGTTCTTTGGAGAAGAAAAAGTGAGTAAAGAATAACTAAGTAGTGTGCTGTAGATGCAGAAAGGTGCATTCCAGATGCCCCTTTGAGGAAGAACTTCCTGTCCAGCTGCAGGGAGACATGGTCAGCAGGAAGCTCCAGCTGTCCACTCTTTCAGGATTCCCGGTAGCTGCAGAGTCACCTTTCTCAAAGTCATACTCCTCCCAGCCATGTCTTCCTGCGGCGCTGAGTGAGGAAGAGACGCAGGCTCGGTCAGTTGAGCTAAGCACCAGACAACAGCAGGCACACTAGCTCCTGAGCTCTCCAAAGGGCTAGCAAAGCTTCCTGGCCCCCACTTTCTGGTTTCTCTTCTGCTCAATCCTGCTTCCCTCTTTCTTCCACACATTAACCCCAGACAACTTAGACTCCAAGCTTCACCTCACTGTCTGCTTCTGAAGAACCCACCTTGTGACTGAGCAATAAAAACTGATAAGAAAACAGGCCAGTTGAAGAGATGGTGCAACCTGGAGGAATCAGGCAGCACTGAAAAACCTTGTGCTACAAAGATGCAGAAAAACCATATTAAAAATGAAACCTAGGAATTATGGAAAAATTTGGGTAAAAGTGAGACAAACCCCCGTAAGCAAGAAAAAAGGTAAAGTTTTAAAACCAACATAGTAAGCTGATATGAGACTAAATCGGGAGGAAGCTGGATCTAAATATAGGAACTGAATGCATACACAAAAATAGGAGGAAGAAATAGGTCCATATGGAGCAAGAACTGGGCCTAAGACCTTACATAAAATACGATTTTAAAAGGGCTACATCCTCAGTAGAAGAAAGATTGGAAAAATTCACTTGCCAATAAAAATTACAAGGAAACTTGTATGTCATGAGTAAAGAAAAATAAATGCTCCGTGTGTCCAAGACTACCACACATGAGTTTTGAATACCACTTGCGTGGCATAAGATTTTCCAAGCTGTTGATGAAGTGCGTCCTGAACCCTGTGTGTTGCTTCAGCAGCATCAGTCTGCCCTGGATTGCTAAAAAAATAAAAGTGTCAGCAGAAGAAAAGTACATAAAGTGACACTTGACACACAGTAGGGAACTGTGGAGGCTGAGTAAGAGGCAGGCGGATCACTGAACAGTGTAAGAAATAAGCGACTATAGAAACTGTGAGAAAAGAGTAAGATGTTAAAAGAATACAGATTTGAAAACAAATATAACACGACAAATGAAAACTTCAATCATTGAAAGCAAATATTCATCGTTAGGCCAAACAGCAGGCAAAATCAAATTGCAGCGAGAATCAGCAAAGCAGAATCAGACCGCAGAGTATTTGTCCAAGGTTGGGCGAACACAGAGGCGTGCCACCCGCCCCATTTCCCTTCAGGAATCTAGTGACGGTGAGCCCCAGCCCCTGAATCTCTGGACCCAGAAGATGGCTGGTCTCAGGAGCACAGAGCCAGAATGCACACACCCCATGAACTTTTGCTCAGGAAAAGTCATCCAGTCCAAAACCTTAGGTTCTTCCTGCCAGGCTTTCTTTCCCTGTCTTCAGGCTCCGTTGTTGATCTTGCATGCTGATTTGAAGCTTGTTTCTAGCTTCTCCTACCCCATCCTCTTTATCTTTTGCTGCCTTCAATAAATCTCTTGCATTTCTAATTCCACTTTCATTGCTTCTTATATATTCTAAATATATATAGAAAAAAATCAACATAACCAAGCAACAATAGCATTGAATGTGCGAAGAAATAAACAACATCTCCACAGTCATATGCATCTGAAAATATTAAAAATTAAATCATAATGGAAACTTGAAAAACTAGATTTGAATAGCTCTTAAAAAATAGAATTGAATAAAAATACTATGTATCAGAATTAGTATCATTCCAGTGATGTCATACTTGAGAGTAAGTCACAGCCTTAAATGTAGGAAATTTTAAAAATAATTTAAGTATCCAAACCAAGTAACTCTTGTAAAGTTTAAAAAGTAAGCCCAATAAAGTAAAAATAACAGAAATACAGAGTAAATGGGTGGGAGGAAGTCGATGTTTCAGACAAGATGGTGACATACAGCTTTGCTAAAGACATCACATTTGAACAAAAGTGCACAAAGTGAAACATTGGAGATGTTGATAGCATTTAAAAAAAAAAGAACAATGTGCACATTCTTCTCTGCCATGGGAGGAGACAGGAAATTACCAGTCTGCAGTGCATAGCAGGTACACGCTCACGGTGAAGAAATCATGAGTCTCTTGGCTCACATCTCCTCCCAAAGGGGTAAAGTCAGAGATGCTGCCAGTGTTTGGAGAACAGGGCCCTTGGGGAGAGAATGATGACACAGTGTGTGAGGGAGCTCATTCTCCTGGACACTGGAGGAGCTCCAGGCTCTGTCATCTCTCTGTCCCAGTATGAATTAGCACGGGCACTTTGTGTCCCAGCCCATAACACTACACCATAACTGCTGCTCATCCTGTCTCCTCCCAGTGAGTGGAACTCCCCCACTCCACTGCAAACACAGGTTTCAGGGTTGTGCTGGAGCCCACACTCCCACTGACTACTAATGTGGACTTTCCTTAACCCTTTGCCCTGCATGGCTTGTTGATCACCATGCAGGTTGAGTCAATTACTTGCCATCTTCCAAGAGCTGTTTCTCCCCTCATGGTCACCACACCATAGTCACCAATGCCATCAGTTGTCATCACCTAGACTTTCACACCTCACTACTCTGTAACTCTACTAACTTGGTCCAACTTCCCACAATCCCAGGCTGCAGAAAATCCACTAAAACCCACCATAGCACAGCATGTCTACTTCCCTAGAGAGCACTTATCATTTGATCACTTTCTTACTAATTTGATTTTATGTTATTTGGCTGTATGTCTCCAACCCTCCCCAACTCATGAAATATAATCTCCATTAGAACAGGGGCCTTCTATGCCACATCCCAGCAATGCCAAGCATGATGTGAAGGCTTAGTCAACACTTTTTGAACAATGAATTAAGCAGTGAATGAATCTCTCCATAATGCCCAGGGAATCTTCTCTCCATGTGAAGATAAGACGGAAGATCATTAGCATTAATGGGCGTTCTTTAGCACAGTTTTGCCGTTTTAGAGTTTGTAAGTGACCATAGAGATAATGTTCTATAGCTCCCTCATGTCTGGATTTCTCTGCCACATGAGAATTATGCTCCTGCCATGCTGGCCCTGTGCCCAGATTCAATGGACTATGCTACATCGATTTTAGCCAGGGCGGGATGCCAGCCGAGGACCATTTGGGAAGAATTTCCCACTGTAGGCAGAAAGTGACACCTCTTATGCAAGTTTAAGCTGCTCTCAGCAGCAAGCAATGCTAAACGGTCTCCGTCCGAGACTGCACTGTGGGAATGTACACCTGGGCATTCTGGAGCATGACATCAGCACCAAGACCATTTCCCGTCAAGGCTCTACCCAGGCACCCTGGAAAATCCACTCACACAGCAAGAAACTTCTTGGATCTTGTTAACAACAGTTTTCTCCCCTTAATTAGTCCCTGCCTCCTTGAAAGGTTTTCTCTGCGGCATTTGCTCATTTCAGAGTTACTTATACCTTCAACAATCAGCACCAGTCGGGTCATTCTGTTTATTTTTGCTTTTTCAGCCTATGTGTGTATAAAGCCAAAAAGTAAAATGGCACTTGTGAAAAGGTGGCCATACAATGGAAATGTACTTCCTAGCCAAGTGTTCAAAATGTGGCAAAAAACTAATTCTAACACATAATGAGAATGTGGTAGAAATGGCTAAAGTCTGACTTACAATAGGTAAACCCAGCAGAATTTCAACAAACTTATTTTTCCTATAAATTCTAATGGGCTACTTTACATTTTATTTCTTCTAGAAAAAAACATTCTTGTCTGGCTGTATCAAGACTAAATATCCTTGCTTGTTTTTTGTTTTGTTTTGTTTTGGTTTGGTTTGGTTTGGTTTTTTTGGACACTCTTTTATTAGCCCCTAATAATTTTTATGAACTCATTTGTTCCCACAATAAAATACAAGTGCCTTAAAGATGAGGATCATGACACACTTTCGCATGAGTCCTTAGATTTTAGCACATCGCCTGGAATAGACGGAGTGGTAAATTAATGCCTATGGTTGAATAGATGGGTAAATACAATTGAGTGCTACAAAGAATGAAGAATGAGCCAGAAGTACTACAATAGTGCAAGAGAGAAAAACACACTCATCACAACACTTCTGGTGCTAGAGCTGAGGGAGTATTTCCCCACACATCGGCAAGTCAGTTCTTCAGTAGACCCTAGCTAGGTGTCCTATAACTCAATCTAATTCTGACACCACCTGCATGGTGACACTGTCAGATC